CAATGTGTTTATCAAAATATTCTGATGGGACTATAGTCCTACAATGTGTTTATCAAAATAACCTGATGGGACTATAGTCCTACATTCATCCAATATTGCATTTGTAAAGAATGTCCTTCCGGACCCCTGGTAGCTGTGAACAAAGGATGCAAATGCTGTGGTGTGACGAAAGTCTTCCGAAATCTGCAGAAATCTTAAGATATCTTGAGATTTTCCTGGAACCAAGAAACCAAGAACCAAGATTGCACAGAAGTCTTGGGCAAAATCTTGGTTCTGATGAGAAGGTTTTCTTGGAACCGAAAACCAAGATTATCCCCAAGACTTCTGAGCAATCTTGGTTCGTGGTTTCTTGGTTCCAGGCAAATCTCAAGATATCTTAAGATTTATGCAGATTCTTGAATAATGTTCTTGTTTGCTTCTTGTTCTCAGATATAATCTTCACCTGAGGACATCTATATATATATATATATATGGTACTCCCCTTTCAATTAACTGATAGATTATCATCCCCAAACATGGTACCACCCCTCCAGAAAGTGTTCCAAACAATCATGTGAAAAAAGGTCTCAAAATATCACTCAAAAAATGCGTCCAAAATATCACTAAAACACTGTAATTTACAGTATAGAACACACAAAGGGTGTGTATTGGTGGGGGGATGTACCATGTAAAAACTTGTTGGACATGTCGTGTACGCTTTCTCAAGCCCCGGGTCGTGCCAGAAGCCAGAAATGGGTAGACTCGGAATTCAAAGGGTGGTAGTGGTAGAGCCCCACGTCGATCGAGGGAAGTTTCGAATGAACAAGACACGTGACTCAATGGGGTGGTTCACTGCTTCGAGGAAGAAGAACACTGCTTCGACCGGAGGACGCTCCTTTCCCTCGCACATTTGGGTATGGTGGCAACTCATGTTCTGCCGATCCAAAGCTTGTCCCCTCTCTGCCCACCGGAAGCGACGTGACGCGTGCGACGCGTCTCGCGACGCACGCTTCGTCTCCGCTCTGAAATCGCTCCCGGCCTTAGTGGCCTCGCACTTCTCTAGGAGCTTCGCACCTGGGTGAAAGCGACCGTTTCACTCGAGTGACGGTCACTGACGAAGGAGCTTCGTTTCACGCGAGTTTCGACGCGGAAGCGGCGAGTTTCGGACGGAGATGGGTCCATCCTGCTTCGCCTTCGGATGGGTCCATCCCTAGATGGCCCATGGTGCGCTCAGGTCGCTCGTCATCGGCTTCCGTTTTGGCCGGAAAACCGGAAAACCGGTTCGGAGGCGGTCGGATGCTGAAAGGAATGCTGAGTCATGATCAGTCATGATGAGATGGGTTTCTTGGTCGGAAAGGAAAGACTCGGTCGAAAGCGCGTCTGGGGTGCTCGGTCAATCTTCGATGCCAAACCTTGACGTGACCAATCGTGCGAACGGAGGCATCCAGTAACCCCGAACCAGGTCAAAAAGAAGTGTCATTCCTGTAAGACCCCCTGTGCTGCAGATCTGAAAATACTTATAATTACAGTAACTAAAGAGGACATCGGGAACCCTTTTGGAATCCCAAGCTTGCCGGTGCCTGGAAAAAAGAACCTGTTTGTCTTTTTCCCTTAAAAATGAAAGGAACGAAAAAAAACACTGATTCTCACGTCCAAGCCCGGCCCCCGAAAAAAAAAAAAAAACACCAGGTTGCACGATCCGCTCAGGTGTGGCGGCACTGAGCCTCCGCGCTGACCCATCCACTCTCCGGACCGGAGCCTTCGTCTCCGCCGCTCGGCGTGGCGAGCCGAGCCGAGCAGATCCGGCTCGTCCGGTCTCCGGTGGAAAGACGTGTTGGGTGGCGCCCATTGGTTGTTTGCTACCGGTACACCGGTGAAATCCACAAAGCCACAAAGCCACCCAACTCCTGATTCCAGATGAAGAAGCAGGCCTGGTTTTGGTAAGAGATCTGTGACATCACAGTTGATTGAGACAGTTGGAAGAATCAGTTGACTCCAGTACTCCTGACATCAAAGTCCAATACTTCTGTTCAGTCAAAGTCTGGACGTTAACGTCTGGCCGTTACTCCAGTACATCCTCCCCTAACTCGTTGACCCGTTCGGAGGATCGCCCACTCTGACTCAGAAGATAGACGGCACGGCGCTCCGCCTGCTATGTGGCAAGTGAAGTGACAGAGTTTCGCCCAAAACAAGGAGAACCATGAAATGAACAGGGCAGAAATTCGTCAGAAATTCTCAGCAATGGATTTGTATCAGCCTGATCTGCACCTGATCTGCACCCTCTCAAAAAAACAAATGGACAGGAAGAGGACTCTGCTCCACCGCCTTTGTCACACCTCCGAAACCCAGCATCCCCCGGTGCCCAGCCCCCCTGTCTTCCTTGCACGCGATAGAGACACCACCACCCGCTTGCCGCGCCGTGACTGCCGTCTCAGCGCCGACACGACCGTCCGCCGGTCGCCCGGCGCGGCGCGTGGTGGACGTGGACGCGCCGGTCTCGGGTCGGCGGCCTGAGACCTTCTTGAAGCGAAGACGTTCCCCCGCCTCGGAGGCGTGGGACGGGTCATCGTCTTCGTTTCGTCTTCGAGGCGTGGGCGAGAGCGAGAGGGACGGTGAGAGAGGAGACGAGGAGCACGAGCGAAGCGGAACCGAAGGGATCCGGAGTGCAAAGAGGTCGGCCAAAAGCATGTGCAGCGAAGGTGAAAGAGTGGGTTCAACGGAGGGTGGATCGGTCGGTTGGTTTTCTTTCTTTCTGGAGAAGGTGAAGATGTTGTGGAAGAGGTCGAGCTGTTGTAGGAGACTGTAGGGTGGAGAGATGGGCTTGAAGCCAAGCAGCGCATCGACTTGGAGGACTGGCAAGCTCATGATGAGACATGTGCGCCGGTTTCTGGCCTGGGCCCTTTTCTATTGACTACAGGGACCGACCTGGGCTCTTCTGATACGCGAATCCTCACTCTGAGAGAAGACATTTGGAAGATTTCATTGCAGCAACCAGTGAGTCGTCGTGCTGGGCTCGAACTCGCTCGAACTCGAAGCAGCTGGGCTCGCCCGGCGCGTTCCAGCTCATTGATCACAGCGCCTGGTCGTCGAGCGTTCGGGTCGCGGCCCCGGAGCCATAAACGGATTATGTTTTTGTGGGAGTGTTGTAGGACCACTTAGACATTTGAAATGCAAACGATGCAAGGTATCTACAAGGCATCGCGAACATTATGTAGTATCTTTTGACTGTAATGCTGCATGTATTCAGGATCAGGTTTGGGACCTTTCAAGGTTCTGAACAAAGGAGACCAGTGTCTGACTCTACAGGAGCTTTACATCACTGATCCGGTGTAATTCAAACATAGCTAGAGCTAGAGCTCACCAACCACCCCAAAAATTGTTTTTGTCCTATCAAAACAGAGGTCTCTTAGTCATGTTCTAGGTTCGTGTCCACTTCAACCTTGCAGCTGCTTGTTTTTTTTGTTGTCTTGCAGCGCCATGACCTTCGGAAACCTCCCACCACCTAACCCTGCCACGCCTACACCCAAACGGGCCAGCTGCTGAGAGGTCAAACCTGGGTGCGTCGAAGAATCGTCCGAAATGCCAGGGGGATTCACCTCCCGAGAACTCCGATGCCATCGTAGGTTTCTACTCAACTGTCGTAGCGTTGGGTGTTGTCATTGAAAAATTAACAAAGATTCACCCCGAAAGCCTCCAAAACCAAACCGGGGGCATGCGTGCGTGCGTGCGTTCGCAGCTGCGGCGGTTCACCGAAGAGTCGCCAGACAAGGTCTGGCGAGCGTCAAAGACCCTCTGGTGTGCAGAAGCGTCACCCACCCTGCACGAATCAATGAGGTCCTTTTGAGAACAAGGGGGTCTTTGGTACCATATACCTATTGAGGTTATCCCCCTCCATTGGTCAATCAACCAACAGTAAGAAGACCAACAATGGCACAAATCGACACCTGTGCTTGGGCCTGGTCAGCAAAACAACATGTCTTGGCTGGAAAGCCGGAATGTTGTTCGGCCGCAAAAGTGTTGCTTGTGGGTCACAACAGTAAGTCATGCAATATTTGCATCATTGCTTCTTCAGCTCTGAAATGTGGTCTGGAGCCTCAAAACCTTCCCCGTGCAAACCAACGGCCAGGTTGAATCTGCTCATTTGGACTGGTCAAACAAGGCTCCCCCGGTTTTGATCCATCACACAAAACTGTCAATTGGACAAGCCCAGGGGCGCTTTGGGAAGCTGCGCACTTCTGTATGTGGGGCTGATGCGGGTTTTGGTTTTTCGGTCGGTCCATTTCAAATATCATGGCACCAGACTACCTGGGTTGACCAGAGAAAATGAACAGAATGGACTACGAGTCGAAAGCCCACCTACCGGGCAAAACCAGGTGCCATGACCCTGAGCGCCGATGCTGGCTTGGGCCTCACGCCAGGAACTCAGCGGAACCGCCCGACCCTCCAACAGCCGCCGAGAAGCTCTTCCCCTCCCGCACGAGGGCTCCCCCCAACTCGGCGACCGCCACCACCTGCTCCGCTCAAGTGAACAGCACTGCGAGTCATAGATAGCTCAGAGCGCCATTCACTGGACTTGGTCGCCTACAAACCAATAAATAGGGAAAGGCCATCTAGGCCATCTATGGGTTGGTCCGTGGATTGGAGCTTGCTTGAGGTCAAATCCAAAATGTATCCGCCTCTTTCCGCTGCTCCTTCACCCGTCCGCATGCAGAGTCTGAGTTTAGTACACTCCAGGCAACGGACGCACCCGCCTTTTCGGGTCTGCAGGTTGGATTTTGGGTGAACCTTTTTGGGGATGAAAGGGACTTGGAGTGGGATGGACTCTCTGGTATCCAATGCCCTCAAAGCTATCTTGGAATTTGAGGGTTTTCTCTGCCCTCGACCTGTAAAACATGGCTTGTCGACCCTGACACCTCCAGTGCCGGCGTGTACATCATCCTAATATTCCAACCACCATTGATGTATTGTAATGGTTCTTACCAAACCACCATTGTGAACAGCCCTTGTTTTATAGATTTGGGACTACAAAAACCTGGTCAATCCTTTTTTGATGGTCCAATTTCCAGACGGAAGGAGGAACGACGGACGTAGCTGGTCCGCCACACGTGTGGCGGTCCATCGGCTCCCTTAGCTACAGCGGAGCCGATGGTAACGAGTGCGGGGGTCCAGTCAGGAAGCTGTCGAACCACAACCTTCTTGACTGGAACCAGGTACTAAGAAACCTGGTTTTAAACCTGGCTTAGCTTAGCCAGACTACAAACCCTAAACCAGGTCAGTACTCTTCTTGAGCCTTTTTGGCTAAGGCTCCAAAGGCTCCAAAGCCCAAAGACCCTTCTAGAGCACAGAAAAAGAACGCAACGGGTGCCTTGGAAATGACTTGAGTTCTGGATGCCAGGAACTCTGGTGAAGAACCCTTTCTTTGCCAGAGAGACTCTCTCTGGTTGAATGAATTGATCCATGTTGGTCAAGAAAATGGCAGCTTCAGAAGTTTCAAGACCCATCCCTGCCAGCAGTTCCCAAAAGAAATCGTTTTGAGTACCTAAGTGAGTGGATAATGGGGACCCCTTATCCTCCAATACACGCCCCGCCTCATAGTGCACCATGGGTAGGACCGTAGGCTAGCGGCTCAAGCAGCTCAAGCAATCAAATCTTGACAGTCGATTCGGCCAATGCTATATGGAAGTGGCTTGAGCAAAAACAAGTTGCATGTCCAACCAACACATTGAAGACTCCATGAGATCTATGAACTGCTTCGTGACTTCAGCGGTCTTCGGCTGGAACCAACGGCTCAAAAATGGCGCACGTGGTGCGCATGACTGGCTCACCCGGTTGAGGTCGCTCCGGGTCGATGGACATTTAGCAGGTCTATAACCTCCAAATTCACCCGAGTTGGTGCACGTTTTCCTGAGATCTCACTCACTTTGAGCATGGAGAAAAGAGTTTAAACACGTCTCTCTTGCAACCACTTCTTGTACTATTGGCCTGAAATGCACTGATCAAATACTCGCCCAAAGTAACATGAAAAGCATTCCTGGGTGGTTGCGCTGGGTGGTTTGCCTCGTATACCTCTACGCTCCGCTCGACAGGACAGACAGCCCAAGAGTTTGCTGATTCAACCATGGTTTGGAATTATCCCATTACCAGGGCCCAGTGGATGATGATGGTTGGGTTGTGTGCCTTTTCAACTCAAACATCCTGACGTTCTCTTTGTCTGACGACTATACGGCTATACTGGTGTCCCGTGCCTGATATGTTTACGATGGCTAGAGGCTAGAGGTTTTCCCGTGAAGAAAGCCCCGAATCGCTCCCAAGGCCGCTATTCCGCCAGGTGTCCTGACAGAAAGTTCCCCCATGAGGTAAACCACCAAATCTGGGAAAAAACACACAGCTGGCTGGAGAAACGGTGGAGGCTCCAGACCGAAAAGCTCGACGAAAACCCTGTTCCAAACTCATTAATGGACCCTGTTCCAAACCGGGTGCCACCGTTCTCCCTTGGTTTTCACCGGTGCGACCTTGACCTCCCCGCGACGACCGACCGACCGATCCTCGGACTCGTTGGATCACCCGATCGATCCGCGCTTCGCTCGGACGTCCGACGCTCGAGCCCCGTGGTGCTGCCGTGCTCGGTCCCGTAGTGGCACCGGCGGAACATGGGCGCCCCCTCGCCTGGCGGAGCGGCGGAGCGGGAGCGGTTGAAGCGCGGTCCAGGTTGAAGCGTGGAAAGATGGGACGGGATGGGCATCGGTGGAAGAAGCTGCCAATCCAAAAGGATCTGTCTCCAATCTTTGGCAGATGAATTGATGAGAAGATTTTGGAAGACTAGATGTTAGATGATTTTGGAAGACTCGGATTTTGATGAAAAGATGAATTAACAAAAGATCTTGGAAGACTAGTACTTCAGTCTCATCATTCGGATGTCCAATCCCCCAAGACTTCAGTCTCATCATTCGTGTGGGCAGCTGTACTTGCAGCTTTTGAGAGCTTGCTTTCTGTGTGGCTGTGTTGTGTTTTCGAAAAAATGGCTGTCGAGAAAAGCACCAGCAGCCTCTGCTCACAGTGATCCACGCTCCAACATCACAAACTCTTGCGGCTTCTGCTACCCGATGACATTCACACAGTCAACAAACAGGGTTGGTTGCTTGATTGACGTTTTCATACGAAAAAGCACCTGGCTCACAAAACAGCAAGAAGACTTGCCCAACCGCCGACCGCCCACAAAAAGATTTGCGCACAAAAAGCACCTGGCTTAAAAACCCACGACCAACAAACACGCCCAGGTGAGGGCCATCACTTGCGTCTGCAAGATTTGGTCCCTCGAAATGACCCATCCTGCCTTCCAGCGCTGCTGCAACCTGCACAAGGCTGAAAGGAGCGGAGCGGGGAGTTTCTTTCCTCCCTCCAGGGTCTGTGGACGTTGGACCCCTTTCAAGGAAGAGGAGTTTCCTCTACGAACAGGCCAGCCGTAGCTTTGGAATCGCCGACATGCGCATGTCGCGCATGTCTGGCATTGGGGAAGGCCCTGTCTTTGGCCTGAACCGGGCCGGACCCATGGTGCCGCTTGCAGCGACTGCAGGCGATGAAGACGAGTCTGAAAGGTAATGAGCGAAATTTTGAGGAGGAGATGTCTACCTGATCTCTCTCTCTCTCTCACAACCCAGAAAAAAGGGAGACCAGGAACTGCTTCAACTCCTCACCCGCGCGCGACCGAGAGGACCGAGGGTCGGCGATCGCCAGATGCTCGAGTCTGACTCGTCCAAGGCGCCTCATGTCGCAAATCCAGGCAGCAAGAGGCCACCAGATCGGCCGACCTCGGTGCAACGAACCGCCGGAGGCACGCTCGGAACGGAGAACGACCTGTTGGGCATAGGAGGTCGACCTGTTTGGCCGTTCGGGGCACCGTTCTCCTGCAGGTGTTTGGTTGGGCACCGGTCGGGGCACCGTTCCGGGTACCGTTCCGCTGACTTCTGTGTAGCACAGGCGCCTCACCATGAGGTCGGGCAGCATCAGCAGCATGATCCAGAGCCTCAGCACGTGCCGCGCACTCCTCCAGGCTTACAGTCCGGTAAAGAGTTGGGGCCCAATGGAAAGTCATGAGGGAATGCGGGTGTTGTGTCTTGTTTATGTTTTTCTGTCTCTTCCGCTGACCTAAATGAGCCTTGAAAATCTTGAAAGAGAAAGGCCTCACGCTTCTACAGATGAAAAACATGCACTTGCACATGATGCAGTGTTGGCCTCTGCAACAGCAGCTCCAAAAAGAGCTGTGCAGTGACATCGCGTTGCAGTACTTCCTAACCCGCGCCCAAAGGTTTCATCGGAAACGAACAGAGAAATTACTGGGAAGGACCCTAAAGTTGCCCGAACGCCTGTGGTAATGTAGGCAACCAACTGGAATAGTCCGCACGCAGCTGCTAAATAACAAGCTCAAGCGTTAGCTTTGGGGGGGGGGGCGCGTGTCTAGAATGCTATGCCCTTGAGCCTTTTTGAAAATAGTCCAAAAACATATCGTGTGGATGACTGTCCGTGTGGCTTCGGCGGTAAACATGCGCGATGCCAATTATGCACACCGGGGGCGACTGCATTATTGACATCGTAGGCGTGTGCGTCCGTGTGTCCTGTCCGGCCGGCCGAGACAAAACATACCGAGACAAACACGCGGAGACAGACAGACTGCGACAGACCGACCGAGACATACAGACGCACTCCGTGCGGGCGAAGCGCTGTGAATAATCCGCTGGGCCGGATGATACTTCAACCCCCCAGGCCCGAGAAGGTAACAATCCATGTCCCGGGGGCGGAGCTACGAGGAAAAGCCAAACCAGAGAGAGAGAGATCTGGGTCCCATGGATGGTATGATGGCATTCAATTCTGACATACCCAGAATTGCTCAAAAGCGGGTTTACCGCCTCACCCCACAGGCCCACATTCTCCTGGCCTTCCTCTTTCGAAACAACCCAATCTGTTTGACCGATCGACGGAAGGGTCTGCTCCAGCAGGACCTCGGGCAAGTCGAAGACCAAGGCCTGCAGCGTTGGCAGGGAGTGCGTCTCTTTCGGGCGTCCGTCGTATGGAGGAGCCCCACTCTCCGGCCCCACTGGCGCTGGTGTCACACGAATCTCTTCGGCTGCAGGTGCCTATGTCGAGGGAGATGAATGTCGAGGGAGATCCTCCTGTAGTTCGTCACATTGTTTTTAGCATCTGGTTGTGTCGAACAGAGTCTTCCAAAACCCTCCTGACAACCGCAACTGTATAAAGTCATACTTTTCTTCTTGTTTAAGAGATGCAAATTGGAAGTCACCTAAGCCAAGAAACTGTTATACTTGCCCGAAAGGATCATTGTTAAAAGTATGTTGACTGATAAATCCTTGTCCTTAGAAGCTATTCTGCAGGTCTTCCCCAGTTACACAGAGAAACCGGGAAGATGAAGGGGTTCCCACCACCGGTGGAAAAGTCTCTGATCATCGTCAATCGAAGTTCGAGAGACGAGATGAAGGCAGTCAAGAGGTAATAATTTGTGTATCTGAATCTAAAGGATTCTAAAGGTGTATTTTGCCGTAAACTCTACCCACGACAACACAAGAAAGATCTCAGAGTCAGAACTTGAGTTGTATCATCTTTCTTGGCCCCACCCTCCTCCCGCCCAAAAAAAAGGCCCAGACAAAAAGGAGAGGAAGAACAGTGTTGCACCTCTCATTGAAGGAAGAATTCTTGGATCGGAGATGCGCCTTGCCCTGGCCACGGACATCTTCGCCCTGGCCACCCTGGGTGCCCGAGGCCAACGGCGGCCAGCACGACGGGTGATTCGGGCAATCGGGCAGAGTGGGCGGCCCATGCTGGTTTTCCCGGGTGTTTCTGGGATTCTGGGATACCCTCCTGTAGTTATACGTGGAAGTGAAAAAAATGCCAATAATACAGACCAGGACCTTCCAAGAGGTGTCTACAAAATAGGCTCCTAGAGCTTAAGGGGTGTCCAAAAACCGGTCCCGGTGTATATATATAAGTGCTTGGCTTCTACATCTGTGGGCAGGAGAGTGGTCTTTCACAATGGGTGTTGCAAATGACCAATGATCATCTGGGGGGGCGACTTTTTCAGGTGCAGTCGGTGTGCAAAAATCCAGCTTGACCTTCTGAACACTTCTATCATTTGCAAGATCTTGGATTGAAGGACATGGGAAGATGGAAGTCAGTGAAGTCAGCGAAACCCCAAGAATCATCCCAAACACCGAGAGCGGCCCCAGCCCAAGGGAGACACAGGCACGAGAGGCAGGAGACACAGGTGGGACAAATCAACTGTTAATGGCTTGGACATTTCAAGGTTTTCCATGCTTCAGGTCGGACCATGAAAAGCATTGGCTAGTGCATTCTGAAAAGAAAACTGACCCTCTTCTACCTGGACCATCCTGTCTGTGTGTCCTGTCTGGAGATCCCTAAGCAATGTAGGGTAGTCCAGCTAGGACACCCCGATGGTCGGATGGTCCTGGTCTTAAAAGGTGTGATTTCTCTCCCCTCAAAGAAGGAGGCTCCAGTCGTCTCCTCAGGGCTCATCCTCCCAAGTCGTCTCCTCACCCAGTCTCCTTCCCCCCCCAACATCTCCAGTCGTCTCCTCCAGCAAGGTCAGGGGCTCTTCTCCGAGTCGCAACGCCAAGGCACACCTGGCAAACTGGGGTCATGGCACTAGGAACCCTGAATCCCTGGTAGGTTGACCTGTAGGTCGTCTGTGCTGTTCATCTTCCGCCAAATCAATTTTCATCACACCCAACCCTGCCCCCGATCCACAGAAATCCCACCGGCAGTGACCGCTTGGACGACCCAACCCTGCTGCGCCCGGTTCGTGCATCGTTTCGTGCGTCGTGGTCCTGCGTCGTTCGCCACGCGGGCGGCGACGGCGTCTCGCCTGCTGCGTGGGCGCCAGCCCTGAGGCGGAGCGATTCGGAGCCGTGCGCGCGCCCGTGCGCAGCGCGGAGCGCGGGTTCCGTGCTTCTTTGGGATGGTGGGAAGCGTTTCCGTTTTTGGTTCCCGGCAGAGCTGCATCAAGTGAGAAGGAATGAGGTTTAGGCACCATGCGCAGAAAACTTAAAGCTGCTTTACAGGCATTGCAAGCAAGAGCAGCTGGTCGCTACATGTAACTCTAGAACATTTATGAAAACGTGCGTTTTGTGTGCAACCTCAACAGGAAAGTTGATTCTGGAGTCGTGCGTCTTTGGAAACTCCGGCCAAACGTGCATTTGCTCCGACTCTAATGAGCCTTCAACTCTTCAACTTGCACCGTGCGAAGAAAATGATGCCAGGATAGACCCCAAACAGTTTCGTATCTTTCCTAACCCATACATTCCATGTACCAGCACCACGGAAGGGGTGGTTTATGGACACCTCTGACTATGTATGTTCCATCCAATAACCACCCCTTCCGTGCTGGTATGGAATATATTCCTACATTGACCCCCCAAACCATCCCAATGTGTGCCAATATGACATACGGTAAAAGAGAACTCCAACAGTAAACTGTGGGGAATGAACGGCGAACTCAAACCATCAAATGAACAGCCCGGCGCCGTCCTGCACAGAGATCGACGGGCAAAAACGTGGGCAGCTGGTATAGCATAGACCTAGACTTCAAAAGCATGTATGACTCTTGTATAAGAACCCCCAAGTTTGTATTGAAAATTCTCCTCGGCACCGTTTGATTCTTGGATGCCCCTTCCTTTTCGCAGCTCCGCCCTAGCTGTCACCGCACGGAGCACAACTCTGGCACCTGGAGCTCCTCCATGACGAGCTCCAAGGTGAACACCACCATGGCGACATAGGGCAAAACCAGGGCACCGAAGAACACCCCGGTGGACCACGGATCACATGAACAGATTCCGTCGATCTAAGGGATGTCAAACCGAAACCCATGGTTTGCTTGGTTGAGGTGCCATGATGTGCGACCCGGGGCCTCAGAGATCATCTCTCCGCTTGTTGGGTCGTAGTCTTTTTTCGTTCTGCTGCGGCGAAGGGTTGGAGCGGTTCGACGAGGGAGGGTTTTGCAGAAGGTCCGCAGACTCGGCAGAAACAGCGAAAGACGTAGACTGCAGGTAGCTACATGGCTGAAAAGGGCGCGTCCGCGCGATATTCACGTTCCAATGGAAAAGTGCCAAGGGACTCCCAAGTGTCTCCCTCTTGTTTTTTCCCAAGTGTCTGGATAACGAAAGTCTGCTGAATTTCGGGCTCGTTGGTCAATATGTGTGTGTCCCGCTCAAAATGAGCCTAGAAGCAACGTAAAGAATGCTCCCAGTTCGGTATGTCCCTTCGGCCATGGTATGTCCCACCGGGGTCTGGTCGTGGATGGCCATGGTGAGTTCTTTGGAACCAACGACGACCTGGGACGACGTGGGAATCACATGAATCGCAGGAAGTCCGGTGACGACATGGGACTCCTGTGATGGGACCATGGGAAAGAACAGGTGCTCGTTTTCAGGAAGATGATGAATGCAACATGTCCGGTAGTGTCGACATGGTGTGTCTGTGGTGTCTTTCTGGTTGGTGACGAATGGTGCGCAGGGGAGAAAAGGACGACGCGGATGGTCTCTTTTTTGGGTGCGCCACGTGATGTTCCAGAAATACATGTGACCAAATGCAACTGAGGCCAATCCGTCTGCTTTTCTTGACATGTTTGGATGGTCCGCCAAGATTTGGATGGTACAAAAACAAATCTACAAGTTTGGAGGTGTTCAGGACCAGGTAGAACACCTGGTCAGACTGGACGTACGTAGGGTCTATGTCTGTCTTATGTCTCGGGGCTTTCTGTCTACGTACCTCGCAGCGGCACCGGCGCCGCGGGCTCCGCGGAGCTCCAACCGAAGCGTGGGAGAAAATCAGCTCCCTCGGGGGTCGTCTCTGAGTGTGAGCACGAAGCGAGGGGTTTGCATCCCCGACCCGGAACAGTGGATGATGATGGTTAGGTTGCATGCTTTTCTCAAGAATCGTCTTTTCCATTCCCTGGGAGTCGGTCAGACTATAAAAGGAATGGTCTTTAGGGGACCTGAAAGGGAACTTCCTTTACTTCAGCCGGTCAAAATATAGCCTTTGGACTTCTAGGGCATTGGCTAGACTGGTTTGCCGGGCCACACCCTCATACGTCTCTTTAAAGCAGTTGGCACTGGGTCCCCTCGAATGGTTTCTCAGCACACGGCGCGTTGCCTCTGACGTTGCAGAGGGTGAAATCGATGGTGTACAGAGATTTGGAAGCTAGTGGCTGGGAAAAATGATGCCCAATGATGAGGAATTTGACATATAGCTAAGCCATGAATTTGAGACCAACCATGTACAATTGACTGAGGAATTGGTTAGGTTAGGTAGCTTCCAAGTTCCTAACAAAGACCTTCATGATGCCAATCAACAAAATCCTTCTATGCGAAAGACCAACCGGTGTGTTCCCTGCTGCTCCGCGCAGATTCATCTCGCCGGCACTTTGGCCAGCATCATTGACCTTCAGCAGCGCGAGCCACTTCGACGCGACCTCGAAAAAAGCTTGGCTTTGCTCAAGGAACCAAAAAAATTAAGAACATTCCCCCCTGCCAGGTTTTGTTTAAAGCAAAAGCCCAGCAATTCCCCGCTCCGGGTGCACCGTTTTCATCCTCCCCCCCCGGGCGGTTACTGCCCGTTCCATGGCCACCGGCGACGACGGAGAGGTGGATGACGTGACCGTGACCATAGGACCATTCGGTACCTGGGGTACCCAGCTGGGATAGTCGAACTCAGGTTCCTTCAAACCTCTGTGGGTGGATACCTGGAATTGTAGAATTGGGAAAGAGATGGTTCCAAGGCAACTCCTTCCTGCAAAAGCACCTGGTGGGCCGAGCCTTGGCAGCTTGGGTACCCTGCCAGTCACCCTTTATGGTTTTTCACTGGAGCAGCAGGAAACCATGACTTGGTAGCATGACTTGAACGACCGAAGATCTGGATCAAGTGGTATCCTGTGAATAGGGGGGGTCTGTTCGTGGAATCGCAGGGACCATTAAAAACACTACTACAAGAGTGGTTGTTGGAATCCCAGGGTGCATGGCTTTTGTAGTTGGGTCGTCTGCTACACGGTTGCATCGATCAAAAGTCCTATCGCAACAAATGGATGCTGTCGGGCGCTCTGCATCTTATGACTTGATGATGTATCATTCTTCCGCTGCCCTACAGTTTCTCTCGAACGCACTCAGAGGTAGGGTCAAGCTTTTTCCGCTAAATCGTCATGCCATGGTGTCAGATCTCCTCCAAGGAGTGGTGTGTGGTGACGCAGAGGGTGTGAGGCTGTGGTGCGCCTCGCTCACGCCATGGGGAGGCATCTGAGGTTCAAGGGGCCTGATGCGACGAATGGGTATACAAGAATAGTTATAGTTAATATAGGGAGACCTCCCAGTTTGAGTCCCTGCAAAAAGGAAGATAGACCAGTCTACCCACTGAGGCGATTGGAGGGTCTCCCTTTTATAGAATATACACTCGAACGGTGGTGCTAATTTCGAAGAAAAATCTCCAGAACACCGGTGAGATGGGCCTTCAACCGCTCCCGGCTCCGCTCCCGACTCCACCTTGACCTTCAACTCAGACTCCTCCTTTTGCCGGGTTGGTCTAAAAAGCTCCACTTCCCAAAGACTGAGACCGGGGCGGGGTGCTCCATCTGGGTCATCTGCATCCTTCTCTTCGCTCTCTTTCTCTGTCTTCTCGAAATGGACGCCATTGGCTTCCATGCGCTCTTGAAGCCACTTGGGCCACCTCTGCGGCTTCAAGACCTCGGTCGAGCGGACACAACCAGCAGCACCGACCGCCCCGGTCAGAGGGTGGTCGGCCCTGTTGGAGATCTCGGTGACCCGTGAGTTCTCCGGTGTGATCCGCTTTTCAAGAGGAACCAGCAAAACCATGCAGAACCTCAAAACGGCAACTCCTGGTGTTCCTTCTCTCACCCTCGCGAAATGGCAACTCGACCAACGAAAATCCTGCTCGCGTCAGCGGAGCATGGCGAAGCCAGGGGCCTTTTTTGAGATCGGCGTCCCTTTCAAGATTGGCTACATTTTTGGAGGTCTGACAAAGTCTTACAATAGAGTTTTAAAGATCATTCACAAGCTTACAAGATCTTATAAGTATGCTTACACTATAGGGACTTGGATGGACTTTGGCAGTCCCTATAGTTTCCAGTCAACCACCAGGCTCCGTGCGTTTTTTCGCGTCGCGGTCTTGTTCGCGATAACGACCGGATCAGTTTTATTCATGTTGTTACATTTGTAAGATGAGGTGACTCTCATTTATATGTTTATTTAATTTATGATCATTCATGTTCCAGGACCTTCAAAGTGACCGAACTTGAGATCCCGTGGTCTGAGGTCACTTAGACTATTTTTAGAGGTCACTTAGAGACTCCAAAGAGGTCACGTACGGCTCAGGTCCTGGTTGTTCACACGGGCAGGCGGCTGGACCACCGAAGTCGATCAACAGCACCACACGCTCCTGGAGAAGCGCTCGCTTCGTTCGCGCCACGCCACTCCACGCGGAGCACACCATCCGGAGGCCCTGAGGGGGAAGTCGCTGCTCTCAAGGTGTCGTGAAGTTTGGGTGGGAATTTCTGCAGCTGGGACCCTTCTTCGATCGAAGCAGGACATGGTGTGTTCCATGTTTTTCGGAAGTTCTTCGCCACTCAGTTCGGTGTCAGTTCGATGAACACCGCTCAGATCGGCTTGGCAATGTGGCTGTGGGTCAACATCAGGATACCTTGCCCGGAAGGTCAAGCTACATGGTGGATCAAGGGCTCCAGGTTTTGGCCCATCCATGTGAGAAAACCCTCACCTTCCGATCCATGTTCAGCACCTCATGGCTCCGGTTTCCTTGGTCGGAAGGAATTCCGGACGCCGCGACGTGCCAAGGGGGGCGAGCTGGCGAGGGCCGCGGCTTGGGCCGCCCAAGGGGGCGGAGTTTCCAGAGGAAGAACAGCCCGGGAAGCCCCGAAAAGCCCGGGCTGTGTCCGCACCCTGTGAAGGACTGTCCGCAGCGTGCGAGTCGGTCTGGTTTCGAGTCGGCGAAGGGTGGGGCAGGCGCCGTTTGAACTATGCAAGCTCCCCAGTCCACAATCCTTGCATCCTTTTGGTATCGTCCAATTTCAGGCTTACGTGGGCAGGCGCGGAAGTGGAAGTGGATGGACCTTCTTCTAGGCTGGAGACTGGACGGGCTGCCCCAAACCAAAACAATCCTATGTTCGCCCTGCAGTGTACACCCCCCCCACCACACTTCCAAGCGGAATCTTGGAATCTCTCCCTCAAATTCTCCAATCAATTCTCGGCATAGAACTCCCGGCTAGCCTATCCAATCCGGCCAATCCGGGCCTAGGATACCCACCGGGCACCGTCGAAACTGCCCCGAGTCGCCGTTGAAGACCGTCCAGTGCCCCTCGCGCCACTTCAGCGCGTTGGGACCCACGCGCACCGCGCAGCAGGGCGGGATTTGGAGCCCCAAATGGGCTCGGACGCCGGAGGTGCCCACGTGCTCCCGGTGCGGCTTGATGTGACAACCGGGCTCCAAAACACCTTGGGCAGGTGAAGACCGGGGAGAGAGGAAAAGCTAGGTCCGTGGACGGAGAGGAGGCTCCGGACATGGTGGACCAGGGGCTACATGGTGTTTGACCCATTCCCCCCGTTCTTGGAAAGGAAAGAGGCGCACATTCATGCAAATTCCGTCTGTAGGACATCAAAGACGACAGGGTGGGTGATGATCTCGGCGTCTGTGATGAGCCTCCGCGTCCGTCATGCGCTCACGCACCAAAGAATAAGGAGAAGAACGCGAACTATACGCCACCGCGCGTCTTTTCGTGGGCGTGGGGTGATTCCCAGTCCTCCGCCGTCCTCCGACGCCCCGGTCAGAACGCACGCACGCACGCGGTCGAGAGGGCACGGGCGGGCGCCGTTCGACGCGCCGGGAAAAGACGACAGCGCACTGTAGGTGAAGGTGGTGAGTCCCTGAATCCCACAAGTCCTCACCGCGTCGGCCCAGCGGACGTGAAGCTCGGTCCACGCGTCCAGCGGACGGATCCCGCGCACCGGATCGAGGGATCCGAAAGGGCAAGGCGACTGGGCTCTTTTGGGGTTCATCGTTCAGTTCAGTTCTGTGCAGAACTGCCGCTGGAGCTGGTGAAGAAGGAAGAAGGTGTTTCACGCGCTCGCCCGAGGAGCGAAAAAGAACACATGTTCAGGTCCAAGGAGCGGATTCCGCGAGGAGCAAGGAAAACGAGGTTTTTCGCCCAATGGATGTCTTATAACAGAGTAACCTAGAGTGCAAAGTCTATAAGTACAGGTACCATCTAGGTACATCTATGTCTGGGCACTTGAACTATTCAACGAAGTTGTGCATGCAACTGTCAACACAATGTGCCTGCAAATGTATCGATCCACTTCTATCCGCTGGTCCAACATCTACCCAATATGATCCAACGAACCTGCTACAAACTCGGTCTCCAGAAGCTTTTCCGATGAGCAACTGTCTGGAAAACAAAGATATGTTTGCCTTCCTATCTGTCACTGTTCACTTGACTTAGTTTAGCTTATAACTTTCCAATGGACCAATGGATGTCTTCATCAATACGCTCGTCCTCAGTCTTTCTTCGTCGCCCACGTGAACCCACTCGACTAGTCTAGTCCTCATGAGCTCGGTCGCCTTGGGCGCCAAGGCCATCTGGCGCGGCAGATCGAAGCCCCAGAGCTTCAGCGGGAAGGACATCCATCCCACGTGGCCTTCGAAGGCCTCCACCGGCGATGGCGGCTCGTGGAATGGCGAACGGAGGAACATGGACGGTCCGGTTACCGGTTTCCGGTGTCCGAACGGGCGCCCCAGCCCAAGGGCGGTGTCGAAAAAAGGGACATCGGCCTGGGGAAGGAAGCGGGTCTCCCCGCTTTTTCCAACAGTTTTTGACAGACGGAACATGGAGGTGGTGAATGTCGGAAAGAAGACATCCTGCGGAGTGGAGACATCCTGCATCTTCGGTAGAAATGACATGTCCTCATTGACTCCCCCAAGGGGGGGCCTGAAAAAGAGCTCCAAACCTGCTTCTTTTTCAATACCTCAGGAAGAGTAATTAGTGACCAAATGCTCAAAGCAACGTACATCCTACGAACGGCCATTGCAGTGTCGCTCTTGATGTCCGGGATTCGCTGGCTGGCCCAAACGACTTCGATCACGGAAGCCCAGGGTGTTGAGTTTGGGCTTCTTCCTGGTTCTTCTAAGTGACCGTTTGATCCCGTGGTCTGAGGTCACTTAGGCCTCTAATAGGTCACTTAGGGACTCCAAAAAGGTCACTTGGAAGAAGCTGGTAGTGACTTTTCTATGACCTCCTGAAAAAGGAGTTTGCTCCAACTCACTGACCTTGGAATTTCTTCGGCTCCGAAGCCATGGCTTCCAACTCCCTCCAGGCCCGTCACGGAGAACGTCCAGACCGCTCCGCCAGAGGCTCGCCGAGCGGCTGAGAATTGATCCTCAGCGCGACGGCGAAGCTCAGCTGAGCCGAGCCCATGGAACGAGCAACCAGCCGAGCACCAACAATAGAGCTTTCTCGAATCATGGAGCCTCGTTCTGGGAGAACCAACAAATTCAACCTGGAAACCCATGGCTCTTACCCCAACTCTTACCCAACACCAATTGCTGGAAGACATAAATCTTTCCAAGAACGAGCTGAAAGAGTTGACAACTCTCATCTTCGCACTGATATTTGCACCTAAAGAAAAAGGAAAAGAACTTGCCGAGAACGGCCGTCGCCCCCCTTTTTTTTTCCACCACTCGGGGCGATGTTTTGCCCCAGTGAAGATGCGAACGCCGAAACACGTGAACGCCCGCGCCGGCGCGGTCGAGTGCTCCTCGACGCGTGAACACTGCAACACGTGCCGCAGGAGCACCACAACGCGTTTTCGCGCAGTGGGCGCTCTACGCCCTAAGCGGCACAGCTTCGAGGACAGTAGCTGGGCAAGGCTCCGGCTCTGGCCGTGGCGCAGTCACAGCTTTCAGGACAGGTCCACGCGACGGGACGGATGAGCTCCGGATCACCCTCGCACCAGGAGGTCTGGCCGCCGATGATGTTTTTGAACTCGGGACGCTTCAGAGTGGCACATCCACCTTGCTTCATGGCTGAAACAAAGGCCTCCAGATAGGGCAGGGCTGAAGATTGGTAGATGTTGACCCCCACCAGATAGACGAGGGTCGGTAAGAGGTCATCCCACATCTGAGTCCAAACAGCATCGATGGGCCGATCTTTGCATGGCTCAGAGGCCAAGGTCTGCCGGGCGAGCTCCAAGCAACTGTCTGCACAACCATGGTATGGAACCTTGTACCAATGGCTTGCAAAAGGATCGGAACACTTGCCTTGGATGTTTCATCGGATCAGTCGAAAAGGATCAGAACTGCAGATTGCCCCAAAGGCCCAGATCCCGGGAAAAAGGGAGCTTTCAACCTGCAAAGGCCAGGAACTTCAGTTATAGTCATCATTATATAACATTGTATAACTAACCATGAACCCATCTATAGTCATCATTAGTCCGCCGATCGGCTCGTCGACTCCAAGCGGCAGGTCACTCCACAGATCATCCGCAGCAATCTCGCTTCTGGCAGGTCGCAGAGGTCGGCGACCTGCTGGCAGTTGCTGATGTGATCGAAGCGACCCACGACCGCCGCCGCGGTGCGCAGCCGATAATTCACTATGCTGCCCACGGCCGGATCCTGATACCACTGGCCTCCTTCCGTCAAGTATGCCTCTTCCGGACAGAAGCTGAATTCCGCCGTCTCTGCAGCCATGGAGCGACTCCGTTCTTCCTCAAAGACATTTCGAGTTTGGACGAAGCCGATGTAATAGGCCTCCTCTTGCGGATCAGCGAACTTGTGAATGTCCACAGCCCGCTCGATCGGTGAAAGGGCAGAATTTTTGCGGCCTCCCTCGGGGATGTCTGCTGTCACCAGGCCAAAAATCATTTGGCTTTGCTGATTTTGACCCACCACAAATGTTTGATTGCCAAAACAAAGCTCCTGCTTCACAGAGAGCATGGCATCAGCTTGTGGCTTCAAAAGGACCAGGTAGGGCACCAAGAAGGTCAGGAGCAGTACGATGAATAGAAAAAGGCTTTCAAGCTTGTTCCGTCGTGCAGTGTACTTCATCTGCAGTGGCTCCAGCCTCTGGATGGCGAGATGTATCGACATGGGAGTGAAACCTGCGAAAAGAAACTCGTCCACATCCAGAATGGCATTCAAGGCTACTGCGTTGAGCATCAGTTCCTTGCATTCAGCTGAAAAACAAAGGAACCAGGAGCCAAAATAGAAACAAGACCCGAAAAAACTGGTGTCTCCCCTCTTCCAGGATGAAGCCCAAAGGGCGAGATCGAAAGAAAAGAACAGAAAAAAGAAGAAGCCCAAACCCAGACGCTCCATGTATGTCATATTGGCATACATTGGGATGGTTCGGGGGGGTCAATGTAGGAATATATTCCATACATGGAGTGTATGGGCAAACTAAATACCCTGGGCTTCCGTGATCGAAGTCGTTTGGGCCAGCCAGCGGATCCCGGACATCAAGAGCGACACTGCAATGGCCGTTCGTAGGATGTACGTTGCTTTGAGCATTTTGTATCGGCCATGGGAGAGGCTCTGCAAGACGTCGCCGTCCAAGATCGTTTGGGTGGAACGTGGGAGCAACCTGACAGCTTCAAAGGCATGCAAGATGCTTCGAAGCTCCTTGTAGACACATAAGCTCCAGAGCAGGATGCATAGCACAGAGAGTAAGACCCCAGGCTGAAAGAATCCCGGCTCAAAGGCGTCCACGGCTAAGCCCATATAACTATCGATGTGCTCAAGGAGAGTAGCTTGCCGTGTTGAAACGATCAATGCACCATCGCCATTGCACACTCGACTGGCTAAACTGGTCGAGGCCAAGTCCAGATTTTGATGGTCATGCGCCACGCTGATGCGCCATTGCTTCGCAAAGTCAATCTGCTCTGCAATGTCCCCCGGGAGGAAATCGGGGGTCAGGATGACGATCATAAAGGCCATCTGCATGAAGAGATTCACGAGCAACAGCAGCACAGCAAAGATGGCCTCCACCACACCTGCTCGCACCAAGCCAATGACCACCGGGTAGGTCCAAGCACTTTCCGAAAAAGGCACCAAACCCAGCTGATCTTCTGGATCTTCAGCCACACTCGCCAATGAGCAGCTGATGCCAGTCAGGTCTGTTTTGGCACCGATGGTCTGACCAAGTGACCCATTCCCTTCGGCGGCCATTCTTGGATCGCTGGGGTTTCCCGTTGGCAGCGGCAACTCATTCCCTTCGGCTTCACCTTCTGGTAAAACATCACCAATGGCTATTCCACAAGTGATGGCACCATCACCCGTCGCACTATCTGCGACATCACCCGTGGCCAGTTTGTCGAGCTTGGCCTCCAACCGGTTCAAGCGAGCATGGACTCGTTCAAACTTGGCTAGAAAGTCTTCACGCAGAAGATCAAATTCGATCTCTGCAAAGGCAGAGGATGGCTTGGGTGGTTTTGTGGGGATAGGCATTGCTCCCTGGATGAAAAATACAACAGCTGGCGGCCTTTTATCCGCTTGAGCCTCCACAGTTCATAACCAAGTTGCTCAATGAAACATCTAAAAACTAGTTGACTGAGCAAATTTAGTTTTGTTGCTTCACTGGAGCAGTCTGATGAATTGAGCGTCGAATTTGTTGGACTCCCCTCCTGATTACTTCCAAAACGAAGATGTTTAACTAAGATCTTTGAAAAATCTTCTCTGAGTGTCGCTTTTCCTCTCCTCCTCCTGGACCAACCCAACCCTGCCACACTTACCCCTGAAAAAATAAATAAATAATCCTTCGCCCCAGGTGCCCGATGCTTGCTCCAAAGCTGTTGCCACTCCTCCAACAGTTCCAGCCAATGGCTTCTCAGCGCCCCGAGCTCCGGGAACTCCGCCGCAGACCCGCCGGACCCGCTGTTGCCGCCGTCGAAGAAGAGCCGCTGGCGGTCCAAGTCCAAGAGCCCTTCGTGTAAGAAGGGCGACTGGATGGGTTTCAAGACCTGGAACCGTGGACGGGACCCTTCGGACCGAAGCCATCGCTGCGTGCCGTGGAACCGGTGCGGTGGAATCAGCAGCAGTCCGGAGTCCGGAGGTAGCGTGAGACGTTTGGGACGGTGGTTAGACAGTGAAGGCCTCTTCGAAAGGATTGGCTGAAACGGCACCAAGGGACATTCTTGAATGTCCAAAGCAGGTTGAGCCCTGTTTAGCCTGCTCTTTTGGTGTATTCCACTTCAGAAATGAGATGGTTGTGATGTGGGATCATTTCCTCTTCTCAAAAGTGTTCCACCAAAGCCCATTGCGGGCAGCCTTTCCCTCACCTCTGTCCAGAAACACTTGGGCTCAGCAGTCACTTTGCGCTCCTCCTCCTCCTCCTCCTCAAGGTGCAGCTATTAATCCCCCTACAAAGGAGGGCAGTGGCCCCAAAAAAAGTAAATGCCAGTGAATGGGCCCTTTTCGCGCGCTCGCTACTGCATGAATACACGCCTTGGGCTTGCTGGTTGGCCCTTGAACCCGCCTCCAAAACTGGCCTCTTCAAACCCACCCAACGACCTTGTCTTCATCCCACTCGGAGCTCGCTCCAACCAGCGCTCCAACCGAACGCGCCCCCGGCTCTCGTCTCCAACCCGCCGCCCGAGCGGCCGGCGCGAGGTGTTCGTCGAAGGCCCGCACCACGCCGCCGCCCGCCAGGGGCACCCAGGGCGCGTAGAGCCGCCCGGTGACGCGTAGCGTCGCCACCAACTCCAGAGGCCCAGAGGGTGAGGCATCGCGGGCGGCCTGGAGGTTGGGTGCGGGGGAGCGTCCTCGGTGAGTTCGAGGGAGGGAGGGTTGTCCAAAGTCCAGTTTTCGCTTGGTCTGTTGCAGTTACCATGTTACAGGAGTCTGTTTTGGTTAGTTGAACTTTCCTGTTTTTTTCTATCGTCCAAGTTCGGGGAAACCGAGAAACCACAACCCCGTCGATTCACGAGGAGGCGTGTGTTCCTTTTGATTGCGGGGGGCCACCATCCGTGAAAAAAGTACCGCGGATCCGTTTTCAGCAACTTCCATCCGTTTTGGCTCGTGTCTTTTTAATAATAGACCACCTGGCAGTCCTTACAGAACCACCTTTCCGGCCGGAGGACTAGTTCGTTCAAATGAGTCAACCTCTCTGGGCCCAAGAGCCTCGCTGCATCGAAAAAACAAGGCGCGAGACGCCTCGCTGCAGCGCTTTGCGACGCGCGGCGCGGAGTCAGACGCGCGGCGCGGGTTCCGCGGAGCGAACCTTCAGAGACGACAAGGGCTTCGAGGCATCCAGAGAGATCCCGCTGCTGGGCACCAGCTCCAGCTGCAAGAGGGCATTGAGATGGAGAGACTCTGAGACCTTTCCTCGGGTTTCGGACTGGAGGAACGGCGCCGAGAGGGAGCGAGAGGGAGCGACCGTCAGGTGGATGGGGCGAGGATATCAGATCGGTGATCGTCTGAGGATCTCTCAGACTGTCTCAATCTCAGTGGTCCCTGCCGACTTGAACACATATGATCAAACAGAGGTGATGTTTCAAGCAACTATATAACAGGACGGATTGATCTGGAGTGGGGTTGAACCACTGGAGTTGTGTACTCAAAAAAGAGGACAATCTGGAGGTGTAAAAAGGCTTGGTGATGCTTCGTAGATTCACGCAAGGACGCCCCTGTTTGCTCAGCCCGGGCTTAGGTTGAGAAGGATGAGGCTTCCATCAGTCTCACTAGAGAGCTAGAGCGCAAACCCTGCTCTGTGCCCGTTGACTTAAATTTGAAGCCCACTTCAGCAACATCCAGTTCAGCTTCTGAGAAGGCAAGTTGCAAAGGATGTTTCTGGTATATAGATGATCAGCCTCTCCCAAGCTGGTCCCCCTTCAGTGTGCAGTTAAGCTTCGAGTCAAGCTTGAAAGAGGAAAGTCCAGCAAGTAATCATCAGCAGCTACTGTAAAGATGAGTCTTCCGTCCAAGGTCAAGATGTGAATCAAATCCTTGGCTCTCCCGGTTTTCGCGGAACTGCTCGATTTTGTTCACACACTTCGCTGTCTCATGTTGGTGATGTGTTTAGCAAACGACGGCGAGGGCGGGGTAGGCAGAAATAACCAGCTTGAAGTACAAGTTCTAATGAAGAGCAATCAGCCAGCCTCCTTGGACCTTTTTTTTGAGCCAGGTGAGCTCGAAACGGACATCCAAGTGCAAAACAGAAAGCTTTTGATGAGAGAAAGGATGAACCTAGATGCCTACCCTGATTTCCTTCTCATCACAAAAGACCCATCCTGTCAAGACACCCCTCCGTTCTTGCGCAAACCGCTCAAACCGCCTACTACCCGCCAAACCCGCTCCACTCGCTCCACTCGCTCCAAACGCATGCGCCATACAAACCCTCTACCGAGGCTCCTTGGGGCCCGGCTCCACAGCCTGGAACTCCGGATGCAGCTTGGCCTCCGAGGACCTGCGCGCGCGTGGCCGCCGGGGCCGTGCATGGCCGGGTGACAGCCTTTGTGAAACGGACCGAACCGTGTCGAAACAGGTCAACCTGTTGAAGTGACATTCTGAAAACAAAGCCCCACACAACAGCTCCCTGCACCTTCAAGGGGTGTCCTGTCTGGAGGTCCCTTAGTAGTGGGCTGGGGCTTCCATTGGAGACCCCTTTGAAGGTGCTGGTCCTTTTCCATCCGGGTCGACCTGTTTTGTGCGTCGAAAACGAGGGCTTCCCTTCCGTCTTATCCGTCTTCATTCATTCGTCGTCCGTCTTCCGTCGTCTCTACACATCGTTCAGATCCTTCGCAGCTGACTCAACACCTCATCCCCACCTCACCAAATCTCCCGGAGCCAACATCTGATGCTGCCTTGGCCGTGAGTCTCTTCAGTGGACAGCGAAGGAAGGACGTCGTCATCCATGGGGCCGTGGCCGTTTCCGGGCGTGGCCGCTCGTGCGGCCAACAAAGTGAGGTTGGAAAGGGGACTCCAAACATGCCGATCTGCAAAAACTCTTTGGAATTCTCCCGTGCGATGCACATAAGCTTGACACAAAGAGTTAGAAAGGGCGGAAGAATTCGTCCAGGCTTGTGGCGGTCCAGAGTGATCAGGGCATTGTCGTGCGCAGAATTGTGCAAAGCTTCAGTCAGTCTGAGTAAGGCCAATCAAGCAATCCTTTCTCCAGGTGTCTAGAACATGGCCCCATGCCGTACCCCCCCAAAAACATCCATTACACTCCCTGAAACGATCCTGGAAGTGGAACAAATAGGCCCTTGGAAGACGGTGTTCCTCTACCAAAACGGGGTTGTCCACTTCCATGATCGTTGCAGGGAAGGTATCTATATTATGAACCTTCCCTTATCATCTCTTTCTTGCTTTGGGACGTTGCGCAACTCCCCCTCCCAGTGGTGGACACCTGACAAGCTCAACACCTTGGGTGCAGGTCTTTTCACGCACCCCTGGGCTTCCCGAACTCTGGCTTCAGCTCCTCGCTCAGCCGCTCCACCTGCTCCATGGGAACCGGTGACGCTGTGGTGACGGCACGACGGTAGCTCCGTGGATCCAGATGTGTCCAAGACACCGGATCCTCCAAAGACTCCGGAGCATCCAGAATCAGAATCTCATCCATGGCCAGCCACCAGTGGCTGGTGGGAACCATCAGCGCCTGGGAACCATCAGGTCTGGTTGCCTTTTGATTTGAATGCTTTTTCTCCATCAAATTATTTGATTAGATTTCTTGGATTTTCTTGGACTCCATTTGGGGCTTCGGAAGACTGTATCGTAGTTCAACAGTTGAGCCTCGGAAACTCCAAGCGTTTTTCTTCCAGAATGTCTGTGCACGCATTCCAATAGAACTACTCAAACTGCACTCATTGGCTCACTCACTCCACAAGAAAGCACAAAAAAACTTGCTCATGTCATCTTACCTGGTAGAATTTGCACGGTTTCCTCCCCACCTTTCAATAGAGGGACCTTGGAAGTCCAGTTCGACTTTCGGGAAGGTTTCAGGACATTCCTGGACTCAGGGTCACCGTTCGACAAGTCAGAGCATGTTTAAAATGGTCGACTGGACTCCCACAGGAGATAGAGCCCAACAACGAAACATGTCTTGGAAAGCTTCTGAAGACTCCAGAGACCCCCGCTCTTCGCTGTGGAGATGGGTGGAGGCCATCGCTACTAGATAGCTCCCACAGGAGCTTCTCACCACTCCCGAGACCCCGCTCCTCAGAATCCTCCCCGATCATATCGTAGTGAGCACCCGTCGCCGACTCCATGAGCATTCCTTCGGAAACGTCGGTGTTCTTCCCAAAGGACAAAGGAACAATAAGAACAGAAATCCTGTTTGTAGAAAAAATGTCAAGAACAATACTATATTCACTGCAAAACCTGGATGGCTCACTGAAGCTGTCTTTTCGACTTTTAATTCAGCGCTTGCATCACCAAGTGGAAGTTCTCTCGAACAAAACCCGATGGCTGAGTGGCAACCAAACTCTCGTTCCATCTTTCTTCACCCGACCGAGTTCCGAGCCAAACCCTCGAGCCTCGGGCGTCTTCCGCTCTCCCTCCGTCTTCCGGTCTCCCCGCTCGGACCCCTCGGGGCGTTCGGCCGCGTTCGTTCGTTCAGCTCCTGGATGAATCTCCACCGGATGGACGAGGTCTCCCGCCTTGCGGGGTCGTCGACTCCGTCCGGGTCAGACGAGTCGAACGAGTCGACACCCCGGTTCGGCCCGGTTCGGCCCAGGACTGGGAACGGATTTCAGTGTCCAATTCACAAAGGAACAGGAGAGTCAAACTGGACTTCCTAGGCAAAATGTGAACCATAGGTCTCCTCGTCGGTCTCTTCTTGATCCGGAGCGGCCAGCGAGGCGTCCAGACTTTCTCGGGGCAGTTCCAATGGCTCCAAGGATCGCTTTTCAAAAAAAGAATCGACCAAAAGGACCACAAAAGGCTGGCTGAGAAGAAGTTCAGTTCGGCTGCCACGCCTTGAGCGGGCAGCTCGTGTTTTCCACGTCCGCGAGCACCTCAAAGCTGCTGTAGGGATGAGACCTGGCCGGCGCCAAGCCGCGCTGTTGAGGAACTCTCAGATGATTTGGGTGGGCCTTGTAGTGGAGTGTTGGGAGTGAGCCTCGTGCCAGGGTGTTTGATCCATAAATCATCGGTTTTGGGACACCCCCATTTGTGGACACCTCCAAATGAGTTTCTTTTTGGATCTTTTGCAGCTCAAGTGATCCCAGGAGCTTTCTTGGAGGCTGACGTCGCCGGCCTAGCGTCGTCAGGAACGCGCGAACGGTCGACCCCCCTCTCGGCCGGGCGAAAACGACAGAGGACAAACTGATCCTGCCTCCTTTCTGCCTCCTGTGCTTCCTCTTCTCCTCAGCAGATTTAGACGGTGTCATGTGGACCTTCTCTCTTGATATCTTCACAATCTATGAAAATTCAGTGGGTGGTTCGTTCACTCACAGGATCTTCTGCCCCTTTCTACTGTGCTGTACCTGTAGCCAAGAGCACCACAGGTGGGTAAAGCATGAATTGGAACGGGTGAAACGTGCAAAAGAACTACAGGCTCAGCCTCCGGCGTTCGGACGGACGAAGAAGCAACCAGTTGGTGCCACTAGGTCGGGGCCAAGCCCAAATGGGTCGACTTTGGACAGCAAGCTTTAAAGATCAAGCAACTCATCACAGGCCTCGACTGACCTGTCATGCCTGGCAAAACCCCAAGGAAAGGCCCAGGTGGAAGAGCCTGAGGAAAGGCCTTTGGAAAGGCCTTTCGAGTAGCCTGAGGAGAGGCCGGTCTCAGCATTGTTGGCTTTGGCTTCCGGAGTATTTTCTTTGTCGTTTTCGGAAGGCAAAAGCTCGAGGCCCAAGGCTAAGATCATCTCTTCTAACGCCTTCCAACCTCCGTCCACCACAGAAATGTGCCGAACTTTCCTTGAGAGCTGATCACAGAGAATGGCCTGATCTTCCTCCGGCTCGTCATCCACCAGGCACAGGTGGATGGCCTGATCCTGGGGCAAAACCTCCAAGATCTCTTCCACACGGAAGGGTCTCCGTAGCATCTGCCCCAGGCGGATGCACACGGGAAGCCCCAGACAGTGTTCACCACCACCGGTGTCACGCAAGTCCACCACCACCAGCTTCCAGTCCACCGTCGGCCGCTCGTAGACGTGTTGGAGCACCTCATCGGGCGCGACGCGAAGGCAGCCGCAGCAGCCAAGGCCCCGCTGGACCGCCGCGACGTGGGGTCCCGAGGGTCCCGTGGGTCGAGTGGAGAGGGAGAAGAGCACCGAGCGGGGAGTGGCCTTCAGCATCTCATCCGCCTCCTGCAGAAGTGAACGAAAGGACTCTGGGCCTGGGTCCACGCGAACAAAAGGCCGGGCTAAAGCTGCTAGCAGCTGGAATAGCACAATGACTTCACTCCTGTGGTCAAGGGAGAAGCTGCAGAGCTCCCATAGCCCTTCCAAACACTCCTGACCAGCTTCTGCTTCAGCCATTTCTCCAAGCAAAAACTGCAGAGGCCCCAACTTTCGGCTTAGCTCATCCAGTGTACAGTCCAAGCCTTTAGACAACTCTGCAAGCACTGCTGGGTGGTGATAGCGCAGGAGCATTGAAATGACCAGCAGCAAGTGGTCTTTCTCGAATCTTAGATACGCCAAGTACTTCTCAGTGAAAGCCGTTGCCATCCTGGTCCTCTGCTCCTCTTCCAAATGCCCCAAGTGTGTCCTCAAGACTTCTTGCAGACCTCGAGCCACGGACATCGCCTGAACCTCCGTGTTCTCACCTCGATCTCCATCATCTCGTTGAAGCAGTTTCTTCCAACACAACTCGACCTGCCCCACTTCGCTCCCACACACGCTCGTTCCGTGGATGTCTCCCTTCGTTCCGTTGAAGCCGTGGTGTGAGGCCCCCGAAGAAAGGTCGCTGCCGCTCGAAGTGGAAGAACGGACGGCATGCAGCGCAGTTGGCCGGCTCGACCGCTGGCTCTGGCCGGATTGGTGGGCCGACCACTGGCCCTGATGGCCTTGATGGCCCTGATGGCCCTGAGGCCGCAGATCCACTGGATCATCCCATTTGAAGTCCGCCACATGATCGCCGGGCGTGCTTTCCAGGCAAAGTGCCGAGCTCCTTCGATCCACTTCTCGGTTCCAAAGGGCATCCGCCCCGCCCGGCCGTGGGAGACTCTCCAAGACTTGGCACCGCTGACGGCGTTCAGTCAGCAGCTCCTGAAGCTCTCGGTTGCTGGTCGCATGCCGCCCGGTGGCCGTGACCAGGTCATGCGCTGTCCGGGTTCGACTGTGGTTCTCCCTAGAAGTGGCGGTCGCATCAGCAGTGGTGGCCGTAGGCTGTGACTCGAACTCCGCACAAACCTCTCGGCGATGCTTCATGACATCGTCCAGCTTGGAATGGCCTTTCGTCTCTGCAATCATCGTCTCTCTTTGGCATTGCACGCAATTCCGCGGCTCCGGTCGAATCTCAACTGTGGACTGTGGAGTCAACATTGACATGTCGGCTCGCCTACTGACCTAAAATCTACAGATGGTTTCCTCTGTGTCCCACGATTTTACTATGATTTCAGCTACTGAGTTGCTATATGTAGCTCTCCAGAATTTCTTTTTAGAAGCTTCATGAGTGGGGGGGGGCCTTCGAGCACTGAGCGATTTCGCCGAGGTCAAGCCGGCTTTTGGTGCGAATGCGCTCCCACGCATGGGTCAACAGAGGAAGGATCTAAAAATGAACTGAGCGGCTACAACCTACAAGCCTTCGAATGCCTAGTCTTTCCCCCGAGTCTTTGGTGGACTCTGCACAACGGGTTTCTTCCTTTCTATCCTTCCACAGCCGCCCTGGTTTGTCCACCACACCTTGGTCTCTTGCGCCCTAACTCGAACTGGGGTTGACAGTTCAGAAAACTATGTAGTTGATGTGAATCTTGAGGGTTATGCCAGTTATATCATAGTGACTTCATCATGAACCGTCAACCATGGAGATTTGACTGTGCCACGCATGAATCCTTCTTGGTCAAACTGGATGAAAACCACCACCAGACTGAGGGCCCTTGCTTTGTCGCTGGCGCCGCTCATAGCCCGTGGTGGCAAAAGCATGCCTTCCTCAACGAAGGGGGAGCACAATTGGAAGAAGTTGCCTGGGCCCTAAGATTTAACAAGTTCGTGAAATTAATTCGTACCCCCAAACCAATCCGAGGAGATGCTGACAGAAGAACAGGCACGTCCGGATGGCTTGGGATCATTTTTCAGCCTCGTGTCCTCATCTTCTTCCCCCCCCCAAAAATGAGCAGATCGGACCTCTTCGCCACCCTCCCCCACCGACCAAACCATCACCAGAGGGGTTCTTTTTTGTGAATCACCAGATCTTGGACGCTCAGCTTCCGTACAAGGACCGCAGCTCCGGCCAGTTCCAGGGCCGATCACTGGCCGCGAGAGCCTCCGAGCCTAGCGGACGTCGCCCACATCCGGTTCGGGTCTGCCGTTCGAAAGCCGGTCCGTTCGAAGGGATCCGAAGTCGACTCTGGAGGACAAGAAGGCCTGAGTAAACCTCCTCACCAAGGGGGAAGATTGATGAAATCAAGAGTCCACAGTCCAAAGTCCGGGTCCGGGTAAGACGTGAAGTCCGCCCGCACCGGAGGTGCCAAGCACGTTGTGTCAGCTCGTGCACATACACATCGCAAGGAATCCGGCTAGATAAATCCTAAGCTTTAGCTTGGAGGGGGTGCACTTTTCTCCTAGACATGCTGCGCTTTTCAATGCTTATCAAAATTGGCAGACCGCATAATTGACATCACAGACGTGTCGGGAAGCCACGGGGCACTGCACTATGGATATGCGATGCCGGTTATGTCGGCCGGGGGAGAATGCATTACGGACATCGCAGAAATCGCAAACGTCGAGGCAAACCGTGGGATACTGTACGATTGATATCGTGGATGTGTTCGGTCGTGTGCCCAGTCCGACTGGATGAGGTGACTGGCATGTGGTTTTTGGTGTTTTTTTGGGGGAACAATCGCATGTGGTTTTTGACACAGAGACAGTGACAGGGACAGAGACAGAGACAGACAGAGACAGACAGACAGACAGACCCAGACAGACCCAGACAGACCTAGACAGACACAGAGAGACAGACAGACAGACACAGAGAGACAGACCAGCCAGCCAGCCAGCCAGCCAGCCAGCCAGCCAGCCAGCCAGCCAGCCAGGCAGGCAGGCAGGCAGGCAGGCAGACAGACAGACAGACAGACAGAGAGACAGACACCCAGACCGACCGAGACAGACTATTGACATCGTGCGTGTGTTCTTCCGTGTGTCCTGCCCGAACAGACGCACACACTCCGTGCGGACAGCTTCGTGCGCGAAGCACTGTGAATACTGTTCTTTGCATGACAGTAGCGAGGTCCACCGGTGTTCCTCGCTGCTCAGTGTTCCTCCCCAAAACAGCTCAACGACCGGTGGTGACCGGTGGCAAGCCAGACCGAACGTGCAACAGATCAAGACCCGGGAGCTGAAGAAAACAAAGAAATCGAAGGGGAGCGGGTGAGGAAGATGAGATGAAGATAAGTGTGAAGGAGAGATGACGGAAGATTAGCTTTAAAATGAGATGAAAATAAGAATGGGTGCATCTCTTGCACGAAAAGGATGAACAATCTTCTTTTCCGTGATGGTGCAGAAACCGTCGATGTTTCTTGCTTCCCAACAATGAAGCTTCTGAGTTGAGACGCAAACACATGTTGGACCTGATCTCCATGTTAATCCAGTCGTTGCATCTGAAAGGGGAGCCATGTCATATTCATCTTGGCGGGATGAATTTATGTTGCACCTCTTTACCTTCTTTCTGCATGCGTCTTTCTTTTCAATGGCTTAGAGTACTTGCATTCAGTCCCGCACCTAGCACGCCCAAAGGCATAGAGGTCGTATTCACCTGGCAAGAAATGGAAGTCGGATACGATATCTTGGTGCTTTGGAGATCCAAAAGGCCCCCTCGCATGTCAGAAGGATGAACCACCAATCAGCTGGGTGTTGGGGGTCTTTGTAAAGAGACTTACAGGATTTCTCGACTCGGTCGACTTTTTCGAAGCTTTTTCGAAGCCATCAATCTGACCGGGCGACGCGGTGATATGAACAAGGAACCTTGGTTTCACTGAGCTTCTGGTCTAGCTCAGGTCCAAAACCCTAGCCCACAGATGCCCGAAACCACAAGCATGCATTAATCAAGAGTCCACAGTACACAATTAAACCTGGTCCTGAAGACTCATCGAGTAGTCAATTGTGGTCCTTGCCCAAATGACTACAATTGACTACTCGATGAGTCAGGACCGAACCAGGTTTTAATGCGTACTGTGGACTCTTACCTGCAGGGAAGCAGATTTCACCCTCACTTTCCAACCACCACCGCCTTCGCCGTTCGCTGTTTACTGCGTGGACTCCGTGGTCGCCACAGCTCCCGGAACCCCAACGCACCCCAAACCCGGGCGTCGCCTCCTCCTGAGCGTAGCGCGTGGCCGACGTGGCCGACGCCGCGGACGCGGACGGTGCGGACGAGGTGAGGCGCTCCAGGACGCAGCGCACCGCTAAGGCGCTCAGCGGCAGAATGCCCTGCTTCGCGCAGCGCAGATCGGCCAGCGCCAGGTCCTGGCGCTGCGTCGTGTGCGGGAGCGGAACGTCCGCGGACGTCCGAACCTCGGTGGAGAATGGGTTCTGCGGAACCCCCCAAAAACGACGACTCGCCTTGTTGTGCCACCCAGACGCTCCAAACAGCCCGACTGGTCCCTCAAAACCATAGGGATTGGTTCGGGTCCGGACCCCTCCATATGAGGGTACGGCCCCTACTTAGCAGGGTCCAGGGTCGCGTCTGGGCAAAGGCAAAAAAACACAACCTTCCCTGTGCCCAACGTGTCCGCATTTGGGCCAACGCCTCGGAACATCTGCCCTTCTCTCGGAACAAAGACGCAGAGCAGACGACACCAGACCCAAGAATCGGGGCCGGCGCGGGGGGCTTTCTACTTGGAGTTAAATGACACTTCCAAGCACTTGTGATGTAAAAGGATCCCCAAATGGCCACTCCAAACCCCTTGTTTCTGGTTGGGACCATATTTTGAAGGCGAACAAATGCCGTTCCACTGGGCGCGACCAAGTCTGAAAGCTGAGAGAAAAACTCACCAAATCAGGGCCTTCCAGCCATGCAGAGCTAACCAGCCGACTCTTTACGTCTTTTTCACGTCCTTTTGTGGGCAGAAATGCCCTGCCTTCAAAAGCTTCAGAGGTTGATCCAAGTGATGCAATCTTCAACGAAACATTGGAGTCTGGATCATCTATCACCAGCGCTTGTGAATCTGTGTGAACATTCTCGGTTCCTCAAAGGCTTTGCTGTTTATTTTTCCATGGCCGACATCCACTTTTATTGGCCAGAAAAGTAGAACTCTTGCGTCTTAGTTTGAGGGGCAGAGAATGTCGTTTTTATCATTTGAGACCCAAGAGCTTTGGAAAGACAATACTCTGCTCATCCACTCGAGACACATATTCCTGGAGGTTTCAGTCCCAACCAGGAACATGTCTGGTTGGAACCCAATATGGCGCCAGCCTGAGATTCTTTACATAGGAAGCGGCTGGGACTGGGGAGTTCCATCCAGACTTGTGCCTGGTTGTTTGTTGGGTTTCCAGGATAGGGTGTATACTTTGAGTTCCCCTCAACATAGGTACCATCATGGTCAAGAAACTCTGTTTCACGTACTCTCCCTGGAACTCACATGGAAGTGGAAGAAAACCTCGGCTTGGTCTTCGGATTTCATGGTCTTCCGAAATGCATCTCCATGTGGAGAACCACATGGAGACGCATGATGTTACACGTGACTTCCAGCTGAGTGGTACCGTTTTTTCACCTGTGGAACTACCACAGCTGGGCTCCCAACTCCCGTAGAACACCAGCTGTGACCACCACGACCGGCTGTGACCCGTCATTGCTCCATGCGACCCTTCGTGAAGGGCTCGTGTGCTTCGGGCTACAGCCACATCCACCCAGAGGGAACTTGATCTTCTGCTCGTATTGGCCCACGCAGCCTTTGGGCCAGAGGCGCCACGGTGCTCGAGGTGCTCAATTGATTGGTTCTGCTTGATGTTGCTTGATTGCTTGATAGATTGCTTGATGGATACTGATTCTTGATATTGATATGGAGATAGGGATACAGTAAAGATTGAGATACACAGCATCGATAGATGGATAGATGGATACAGGACTCACAGGATCATAGCCAATTGCAGTGGCCAAATCATTCGGAGCTTGTGCCAGAATGCGTCCTGCTTTCACCCGAAAATACACCCCTCACGCCCTCTCCAACCATCCAACCCAAGCGTCAACATGTGCAGGTGATGTAGGAGATACCCCAGCAAAAGGCCGAGACTGCTCCATGACCCGCTCGCGCTGTGGACCACAGTCTCTGATCCGCTTCCTGAGGTCGTCGAAATGCCGTGGGTCTTCAGGCGACAGAAATGCCGTGGATGGACGAAGATCGTTAAAAAAATATCAAGATATGTGTTGGTGTCGCGTTTGGTCAAATGCACCTTTTGCATCACCAGCATCTTTAGCGCGCGCTCTCTCTCTCTCTCTATCTTTCTCTTCTTTACAAGGTGATGCTTTCCATTGTATGGAGCTAGTCAATCGGCTGTGGGGTCAGCCTGCTTCGCCCTGGTAGGTTGACCATGTCTCGCAATCTATTCTACGTTTCACCTACCAATTGACCCCCTGGATCTTCTTTTTAACGAAACAGCGGTGCCAGCTCAGACCGGTCCTCAAACGCGCGAAGGTAAACTAGTTGTATTGACACCGCCCTTCTGCTCGTGTCGAAGTACGGCCTTCGGATGAGAATTGTAGATGGAAATCAGTTCTGTATGCGTTTTTGCTTTGACATCAGTCCAAAAGGGTTTCTTGTTCAAGAGATCCAAGACTCCTGGTGCAGATGCTGTGCCACCACTCTCTCCAAGAAGATGGCTGCCACATCCATGACGGTGGAGCAGCCCCTTAAGTCGCACATCACCAGATACTCACTGCCTTAGGAGAACGGATCTGCTGTGACCACAGCGAAACATGCAGCACAGAGCTGCACAGAAACATCACCAACCTGGAAATGAGAGAGAGAGAGAGAGACGAAAGGCAGCGCAATTTGTTCAGACAGTGTTGTCCATGCCCCTGGTTGGTCTTTCATAGATGCTGGAAATGCAATATGTGAAATTGGCACTGCCAGCATCACAAAACAACGCAAATCCTCTCAAAATAGCAAGAATTAACCAAAAGCAATTTAACCCCGTTAAGTTTCGGGAAAAAGTAGTTTATCGTTCATCCTCATACACCTTTCCACTTCTCTTTTGAACTCTGCGCTCGAGCAGCTCAAGGGGTATTTCAGAGGCAAAGCTTCTGCAGTCTTCCGAAAAAGCTCAAACATGGTCGCAGCATGTCCTTGGGGCGCGGCCGCATGGCCAAAGTTCTTCACCACATGACATGGAGTCTCAGCTCAAAGATTTCTAGACCATTCGGTCTTGCTGGATTGTATGATGTACTGCAAACACCAACCCCAGCACGGCTATGGATGCAAACCTTTCGAGCATGTCAGGTGAGCAAGGGACCCCATGGTCACTACATTAGTTTCAGAGTTGGAAAGGCCTTTCCACTCTGCAGCCGTGGCTTGCCACATCAAAGGCTTGTCAAGTATTTCTTCTTTTGGCTTCCCAACCCACAAAAAAAAAGTATGAATCATTGACCAGGCCAGGCTCGAGCGGCTCACCAGCCCGCTCAAAAATCATGTTCTCTATATACAATGCTTTTTCAAAGGATCGATTTCGCTGGCACCCCAAGATGTCTGGCATGGATGGAGATCTCCGGTTTTGGACACGACCTTGGGGTCACTGGTGCCATCTGTCATTGTGCCATCTACTCTCAATCCACCGTAGCTATTCAGTCCGGTCCACCTCCTCCTTCCGGTCCGCTATGGCACTGCCTCGCTGCGGAGGACTGCACCGTTGACTGCACCATTGACCGCCCCGAACCGCGCGTGTTTCACGGCGTCACGCTCAACACCGGCTCCAGACCCTGAAACCGCGTGGACCTGAAGATCCAAAAGCGAAAGAACCAGAGAACCTCCGATCGGACGAAGGACGTTCAGGACGAAGGAGGAAGCGTGTCGGTCTGGTGGAATCGTTCTCGTCGAGTCTTCGAGTCTCTGTGTTGATAGATCTGCTCCAGGACTTGCGCCAAGGCTGCAGGACCTGGCCTTTGCCATGACGCCTGGGGCGAACAAAAACAAACAAACAAACAAACAAAACGGTCCTTCATGCAGAGTGATGTCTGATCTGAGGTGTATTACCAGGTATTAAATAAATGATTATAGATGCAAAAATGTTGATGTTGTTTGAGACATCTCACCTGGAGAAACTGAGTTGAATCAAGTGTTGCGTGCCGTCAATCACAATGTAACTACAATCTGGTTTCGTGGGCTTTGTGGAAGAGGAATTGCAACTCTTATGTTCTCCTTTTGACCATGACCCTGAGGCATTAAACAAACCAGGGATAGCAACCGCAGCTTGACCAAACATATTCTACCCCAAAGAACCCTGGTCAACACGGAACCCTCGAATGAAACAAAGGAACAGCCCGAGGTCGATCGGTCGATCTTCCACCTTCAAATAGCGCCCGCTCAGCAAAATGTGTGCAGCCTCTTTTCGGATGGCTGCCTTAGTCCAATGCGAAACGTGCATGTCCACTGACAAAAATGAGTCAGTCCATCACAAGGAAAAATCAGTCCATCCAATGAAGGCCAACATGTAGCCCTCTTCATCCCCCAAAAGAACCACGAATTTTGCTCTCCAAGTCTCTTGCATCTCTTCACGAATTCGACCTTCATACCCAAAAGCTTGCCCCATGAGATAGGAAGCAGCGAGAGACAAAACCCCAAAGAAAGACAGAGAGAGAGAGAGAGGAACCTGCTCTGGACGTTGGAAAAGTGTTGCATAATTCCGTTGGAACTTCTCAAGAACCAATGAACCGAAAGCACATCTGTAGAATGACTTGTGTGAACAGAACAGAGTTTGCACACCAATTGAGAAGGTGCATGCACTAACAATATCTGACCATGAACTGTTGCACAATCGGTCGGTTGAATTGTCTTTTGTTCGGTTTGCGATTGAAACAGCTGCTTTGGCTGTCTGTCTGTTTGAGCTGGTATGCCACACAGAGCACTATAGCATGATAGCACAAACCAAAAACAACGCATCAATGTCAAAAATGTCCACAGCTCACATATCCAAGGTGGGCCAAATTATGTGTTGCAAAGCACAAACCAACAAGCCAATTCCCCTCTGATGCCCTTTCCAAAGTTAAGTGCTTGACCATGAGGAGATGCCAAATCAAGTTTTTAATGAATTTGGTGCAAAGCTTGCGGCCAAGAAGCCTTTTTTGATGCATTTTGGAGCTGCCAAAGAGTCAATTTCACTCTTGTAAGGCCGAAACTCCCTCCGAGGAAATGCATGGGGCTGGTGGGAGCCAGTTGTCTTTTTGGGGCTGCGCAACTTCTTTCCATGAAAGACTCTGAGAAGCTTTGAGACGGCTGTTGAAGGCCTGGCATGGAATCAGAGTAGACCTGAAACTTCAAACCTTGAGCCTTTTCAAGCAATGAGTGGTGACGACCTGGCAGTCAGAAGGACTCATCGCGGGTTGCTCAAAAGTCTCATGTATGGCCCGGCTAGAGACTTCCCATGTCAAGTTCAATGGGTGAAGGAGGAGCTTCTGGAAATATTCAGCTTAGGGGGAGGATACATGGAAACAACGGAATTCCAGCCAAGGATCTTTTGACAACCACAGGCTGGACCCTTGACCGATTGTCTTGCGCTGAAACGAAACGGCATCCATTACAATGTCCTCCATCTCTGACAGATCTATTGCATGTTGACTTGTCGATTGGACTGCAAGGCCATTTTCACTTGTGAAGTTGGTGGCCGGGTGGCCTTACTTATCCTTGAAGTGACCAGCTGCGTGGAAATTCGATGGCGCTCATCCGAGGGCCGAAGTGCACAGCCCGCTCAACTTGAGTCTGATGGCACTCACGCACCTCCGCCTGGACTTGTGGACCCTCCGTCCGGTCCACGTAATCCGGTCAAAGAGATCCCAATGCGACTGATGCTCTGCGAAAATGCGTGGCTTGGCTGGTTGGAGCAAGATGCAAGCTGTGAAAAACGGCTTCGAAAGATTTTGAGATTCAAATCTGACGACAGTGACGATCTGCCCCATGGAACTTCCAAGGCACATGCCTAGGGCGCTTTTTGATGCACAAATTCTGGACTTGGACGCCCAGTGCGATGGAGGGGGAATCTGTCGACTGGCTTGGATTGTACAATGGTGTTGACCAATGAGGCATCTGAGAGCAAAAAACCATGTGTTGGAAAGGGCCAAATGCCTAAAGGCCTAAACCACTTTCTGTTTCAACATGGTGACACCGCAGAATCTTTGTCACTAAGCTTGATGAACCATGGCCGGGCTTTAGGCGACGTCACCAGGAGCAGAAACAAAACTTGGTTTGTTTGCTTGGTAGCTTAAAGCAGGTTGCGACAGCTCTTCGGTTGTCCTCCACAGTGAAGATTAAGCTATGCTGAGCCTGTCCGCCACGGCAGTAGGAATGCAGTGGACTGAGGTGCAGTAGAAGAACTCGATGCTATGCTTGAATCATCTTGAACCATCTTGTGCTCCAAATCGCACAATTCATGGGACAGTTCCAAAGGTCGCGCTAGCAAGCGATGACATTTTGCCGGCTCTTGAGCTAGAATGATTCTATCCTCCAAACTGAGATGCACCTTAACTTACTGCATCGACGGCTTTAGAGAGCTCTGTCATTGTCGCAGGAGCAGACTGAGAAAAAGGTGAGCGTCGTCCTACCCCATCGCAAGATTCACAATGACCTTCTGTGGAAGCCCTTGGATGCCCCTGCGGAATCACTTGTGTAGCAGACCTTTCCTTCACACAAGGAGCGCTAACTCCAACCCTCCCGATGTCTTGCGTACCTCAATCAATTGGTTTAACTTGTTTTTCTCCACTGCAAGTGACTGGACACTTCTGCAAGCTGCTGCTCAGAAATTCCTGGCACAAATCAGGAAGGCAAATACAACAACGAAATGCTACAAGCGCACACTTGCAGGGACATCACGAGCCCACGTGGATCATCGAATACTCGATTCTGAGGTGCGCCAATCGCATGCTCCCAGCTCGATCACATGGACCCTGCTATGAGTGTCCCCAGCTTGTGCTGCGATTTAGTTCTAGCTAGATTCGACGCTTCACGTGAGCTTCCACGAAGTGGGAAAAATAGGAATCGTTTTACTCGGATGCACGCACTTGGGGCGGATACCTCTTCTGTCGCCTCCAAAGAGAATGGTTCAAGAGAACACCTGCCCAACTAAACCAAGTGTTTTGGACCCGCCCACAAATCCAGGAATCCCGTGGCAATCAACCAAAAGGCACAACCTTTGAGGTTAGTGCTGAATGCCAAGGAAAAGGCCCAAAATCTTTCACAGTCACGTACACTCTGCGACTAAATTGATATGCTGGCGGGCAGAAATGAAGGGTGCATACCCCGGCTTGGCACGAAGGCGCATACTCTTAGCCGAGCTAACAATGCAACAAGCAGGGATGAAGGTGGGAAATTGGAACCCAACCAAAGCCGCTTGTTGTTCTTCTTGTGTTGTGGCGGCTAGCAAGCATTTCAATCGTGAGTTCAATGCCGTTTCTAGCCCCCCGCTCCAGAATCAATGCCTCATTCAGCTTAGTGCCCCAAACAGGACCAATTAGGTGTCTGAATCCTAGCTACAGACCCATCGTTCTGAAGCAAATTTAATGAGTACAGCACACGGCTTCCAACTTCAGGTGAGCAACTGGCCAAGCTATGCCGGCCTAAAGCATGGTGGGGAGACGGATTTGAGGTCTTGAGGTCTTTGCTTCCTTGCCAGTCCCATTCGCGCATGCTAGAAACAGGTTCAACATCTCGCACAGTCACGCAGGGTCCGCCTTTGACAACTCCGGCTGGCTGAAATGGAGTGCGTGCCTGCCCCAGCTTGGTACGAAGGAGGACATAATAACCAGGAGCTATGGTTGGCCAAATCTGACTTTTCCGAACTCAATGGACACACTCGCTTCAGGGGCTCGCGGCTAAAATACTACCGGCCAATGTGGCTGCATAGCACGAGGCAGGCGTTGAATTATTCTGCCAGCAGGTCCAACAAAAACCAGACCGCCTGCTAGCAAACCCCCACCGATTCCTACAACTCTCTTGGAAGACCTGCAAGACGTCACTAACATTGTGGATGCATTTGCTGAGTCGCCTTTCGACCGGCCCCACCAAAGTAAAATGGCCATGACTTCAAATAGCAGTTGTCTGTACTAGTTCGGTCTTTTCCTTTGGAAGCCTGTGCCTGCCGCAGCTCAGCAGGAAGGCGCACACTCTTGGTCGAGCTAGCAATGCAACAAGCAGGGATGAAGGTTGGAAATTGGAACCCAGCCACTTGTTGTTCTTCTAGTTTTGTGGCGGCTAGCAAGCATTTCAATTGCCGTTTCTAGCCCCCCGCTCCAGAATCAAAGCCTCATTCAGCTTAGTGCCCCAAACAGGCATCTGGAACAACGACCAATTAGGTGTCTGAATCCTAGCTACAGACCCAATCTGAAACCAATCAGTCGAGCCAACAATGCAACAAGCAGGGACCAAGGTTGGAACCCAGGGAAACTTGTAATCCTCTCCACCCGCCCCAGTGGTTGATGGGTAGGATGGATTGATGCTCACAAATGGGCCCCTTCTTGGATGTGGGACGGTTCTCAATTTCCCAAACTCTTCTCCTTCACGAGCGATTCCAGTGACCTGCGGCTAGGGGAGAGGACCAACTTACTTCCCCAAGACGATTGGTCTTCTCCGCGCGTGTCCTTTTTCTGGGAGGTCGAGCCTGCCTTCACTTTGACTCAAAGCCCCCAGCTCCAAGAACGGGCCCAAGTAATCCCAGGCCCCCCCCATGGGTTAATCCTTGATCTGTGGCTTTTGTATCTTTTGGCGCAGGTGCTCCCCATTCGCACATGCTAAGAAACAGGTTCAACATCTCGCACAGTCACGCAGGGTCCGCCTTTGACAACTCCGGCTGGCTGACATGGAGTGCGTGCCTGCCCCAGCTTGGTACGAAGGAGCACATAATAACCAGGAGCTATGGTTGGCCAAATCTGATTTTTCCGAACTCAATGGACACACTCGCTTCAGGGGCTCGCGGCTAAAATACTACCGGCCAATGTGGCTGCATAGCACGAGGCAGGCGTTGAATTATTCTGCCAGCTGGTCCAACAAAAACCAGACGGGCTTCTAGCAAACCCCCACCGATTCATACAACTCTCTTGGAAGACCTGCAAGACGTCACTAAGATTGTGGATGCATTTGCTGAGTCGCCTTTCGACCGGCCCCACCAAAGTAAAATGGCCATGACTTCAAATAGCAGTTGTCTGTACTAGTTCGGTCTTTTCCTTTGGAAGCCTGTGCCTGCCGCAGCTCAGCAGGAAGGCCCGCACTCCCAGTCAAGATAGGACTAAGGTTGGAACCCAGGGAAACTTGTAATCCTCTCCACCCACCCCTGTGGTTGATGGGTAGGATGGATTGATGCTTACAGATGGGCCACTTCTTGGATGTGGGACGGTTCTCAATTTCCCAAACTCTTCTCCTTCACGAGCGATTCCAGTGACGAAAAAGGGAAAGAGGGACCAAGTAATCCCAGCCCCCCCCCATGGGTTAACCTTTGATCTGTGGCTTTTGTATCTTTTGGCGCAGGTACTCCCCATTCGCACATGCTAAGAAACAGGTTCAACATCTCGCACAGTCATGCAGGGACCGGCTGGCTGACATGGAGTGCGTGCCTGCCCCAGCTTGGTACGAAGGAGCACATAATAACCAGGAGCTATGGTTGACCAAATCTGATTTTTCCGAACTCAATGGACACACTCGCTTCAGGGGCTCGCGGCTAAAATACTACCGGCCAATGTGGCTGCATAGCACGAGGCAGGCGTTGGATTATTCTGCCAGCAGGTCCAATTAGGTGTCTGAATCCTAGCTACAGACCCATCGTTCTGAAGCAAATTTAATGAGTGCAGCACACGGCTTCCAACTTCAGGTGAGCAACTGGCCAAGCTATACCGGCCTAAAGGATGGTGGGGAGACGGATTTGAGGTCTTGAGGTCTTTGCTTCCTTGCCAGTCCCATTCGCGCATGCTAGAAACAGGTTCAACGTCTCCCACAGTCATGCAGGGTCCGCCTTTGACAACTCCGTCTGGCTGAAATGGAGTGCGTGCCTGCCCCAGCTTGGTACGAAGGAGCACATAATAACCAGGAGCTATGGTTGGCCAAATCTGACTTTTCCGAACTCAATGGACACACTGGCTTCAAGGGCTCGCGGCGACACAAATCCGCTGCATAAGAAGGATTGGTCACACAAAGGGCAAAATGTGCTTTCCGATGAAGCTGTCCGAACAAGTCAAGGCCCGTGGAAACTTCTGTTTGCAAATTTTCTGGTAGAGTTGTTTTCCATGGTTGACAAGACGTCAAACCAGCGCTGGTGATTAAACCCTGTGGTCAGAAGATGAGCATTTCTGAAAACTTCGATAGATTCTTATGTCACAACACATGGCTTCCGCGAAAGCTTCCGCAGCGCTTACGCAACTGCAATTTTAGCTTATGCGGAGGGGTTCCTTACACCACTGCTTAGGCAACCTTACACCACTGGAGGTTTTGCTTACGCGCCTCGATATAACAATCACGAATCTTGCGCATTCCTGACGCAACCACAGTGTTTGCTTACGCGCAGGATCGCGCAAAAGGGTTTACCAAATGGCTCAGGTGCATTTTTGGTGCTGCATGGTACTCTTCTCAGGCGAGAAAATGATCTCCGGTTGCAAAGATTGAACAATCCAAGAAGTCTTGTGAGCCCACTCCATTCAGACGCCCATGCTCAAAATGCAGCCTGATATGCAGAGGATATGATGTGCCAATAGGGCGCAGCGGGAATGCGGGTCATCTCAAGCCGTAGCAGCAAGAAAATATCTGCAAACAAAAAGTATAAAGTATTCCCTATCTGCGGCAAATTAGACACCCTCACACAGGACTTTAGGAGGAACAGCTCTTGAGAAAGAAAGATTCCGTTTGCAGTTGTGCTACAGCTGGACGTGACCAGCAATTGGGATCCGGCACTGAGAGTATGCGGGTCAACATGCTTGCAGGTCTACTCAAAGAACAAAATCGGCCGAGCCCAGAAATGGCAGTTGCTTCAAGACAGGGGCCATATGTATCCGTCTCCTTCCACAATGTCTTTCGCCAAGCCCTTCAGTCTGCCCAATCAAGCTCCCACCAAAGGCACTCGCTGTCACAAAGAAAAAGGTGTCATGCCCCGGGCTGGTACAATCTGATGGCTGTTGCCACGCAGTCTGCGGGGCAAGTCAGGTTGCCACTCAACCAGGTCCAGCCATGGGCTCAAAGAACAGAATCGGCTGAACCGAAAAAACAACTTTGGAGAAGAGCAGCCAACTTATCAATCTTTTCTTCACGAACGAATGTTTCTACTTTGCGGAAACTGTGCAAGTCTAAGTCGTGGAAGAAGGAATGCGGAGCTCTTTGTATCCAATCAAGTCCGCCTGCAACCCGAAGAAACTTCCAAAAATCTACTATCAAACAGGGCTTAGATAGGCTTAGGGGTTTTGTTCTTCTGTGACACCTGGAGAATACAGTCTGGCAGCTGGCTGTTCACCACGGGCGATGGTTGTTTGCCATAAAGCTGCACCACCGAGCTGGTCTACTTTGACCTTCACTGCATATCTGCTGCGGAACACAACCTTGCTGAGGAAAAAACTCGCAAATGACGAGTTCGCCTGCTAGTCTACTACAAGTACGAGCCCCGGAAGCGACCGGATCAAAAGCTCACAAGCAGGCTTGGCATCCTGAAAAGTTGCACCGGGATCAGCCTAGACCTCAAGCTTTGAGCAACTTCCAGCCATGTAACTACATATCATCATACTTCATCTATCGGAACAACTTCTGGAAGCATCTACTGCACTAGGTTAGGCTGTGGGCACACAAAGCCTCAGCCACTCTGAAACAATGGAATTCCATGCAAAGGAATCTTTGGGAAATCTGTCTGCGAAAACCATGGGCTGGACCCCTTGACAGATGGCCTTATGATGAAACCAAACGGCGTCCATTGCAAGTGTCCTCCATGTCT